TCCCTGTCTGTCTGTGATTGCAATTGACTCCGGGTGTGTGCGCTTGGGGACTCACAACTGAATAAAGTAACTGTCGATACTGTCTGCGCGACTACATGTACATACGGTTACATGTGCATGTACACGCGACTGCATGTACATGCGACATAGCCGTCTTAACGTGTTTGTGCTGCGCGTTCGCGTCCTTGTTTGTTTGGCCAGGCGAGGAGTCGATTCTCCGGTGGCATATCCAATTCTGTCACCGCCCCTGCACCGCCCCGACTTTGTGCGGGCAGGAAACGGGAGCAGGAGAGGGAGATGGAGCTCTCTGTACGTCTGACAACGATAATCCTTGCATTTGATAGCGCCTTATCACGTCTTCGAGACGTCTCGAAGCGCTCCGCAGAATAGAATGCACAGCGAACTGACTATATTTTGTGAGTGAAACGCGGCAGCCAATTGTGCACAGCAGTGTCCCACGAAAAGTTGTGGATTGAGCGACCAATTTTTTTAAGAGGAATTATTTCCCCCGGAACAGCGATCTGCCAATTGACAAACAACTGGGTTCCGACATACTGCGAGGTAAACAGAGGCGTGCGGAGTAAGGAAACTTGCCCAACGTTTCGCCTGCTGGGAATCGAATCCAGGTATCTCGCTTGCGAGGCGAGCGCTCTAACCACTGAGCTACTAGACTCCATAATATTATCATAAAATCAAAAATGTGTCTTTGGAAAATGCCCCTTTGCCGGCAGAAGATGGGAGTATCGGTGCAGGGAAGAGCTTGAGATTGGAGGAGGGATCGGACATACCAGCGCATATCCCCCGCCATTTTGTCCCACACTCTTGAACTTTGTCCCAGAGTCCCTCTGACATGCTCAATACCCATCTCAAGACCTATCTCTTCGACTACACTTCCAAGTATTTTTCGGCAACACCTCTACATCCAACCACCCCCAGCTTGGGTGCTCAGCCAGTACCGCTTGGGGACGTCCTCCTGAGGTGAAAGCTGGGGGAGGGTAAGATGGACAGGGGGAGAGCCGGGTGTAACACTCTCTGTCACACTCAGTGTCACACTCTCTTACCACACCCTCCATCACCTATATCCCCCCCCATCACCTCGCAGCCCTCTATCACCTATCCCCCCTTTTTCTAGGGTCTCACTCCCTGTCTCCCCCACCCCCCCTTCCTTCCCAACGTGACAGACATAATACAAATGTAATTTGTTGTTATTGATGTGTTGGTGTCACACCCTCTCTCTTCCCCCTGCTCCCCCCCCCCCCAGTGTCACACCCTCTCTCTTCCCCCTGCTCCCCCAGTGTCACACCCTCTCTTCCCCCTGCTCCCCCCCCCAGTGTCACACCCTCTCTCTTCCCCCTGCTCCCCCCCCAGTGTCACACCCTCTCTCTTCCCCCTGCTCCACCCAGTGTCACACCCTCGCTGCTCCCCCCAGTGTCACACCCTCTCTTTTCCCCCTTCTCCCCCCCAGTGTCACACCCTCTGTCCTCCCCCCCCCAGTGTCACACCCTCTCTCTTCCCCCTTCTCCCCCCCAGTGTCACACCCTCTCTCCTCCCCCCCAGTGTCACACCCTCTCTCCTCCCCCCCCCAGTGTCACACCCCTCTCTTCCCCCTCCCTCCCCCCCAGTGTCACACCCTCTCTCCTCCCCCTGCTCCCCCCCAGTGTCACACCCTCTCCCTCCCCCCAGTGTCACACCCTCTCTCTCCCCTCCCCCCCCCAGTGTCACACCCTCTCTCTTCCCCCTCCCCCCCAGTGTCACACCCTCTCTCTTCCCCCACTGCTACTCCACGGTGTCACATCCTCCTTGTCCCCCCCCCCTCCCCTCGTCCCCGGTGTCACAGCCTCTCTCTTCCCCCGGGTCCCACAGTGCCGCGCGCGGGGCTTTGAAAAGCGGCGGGTGTAAGATGGCGGCGGTGGAGGAGCTGCCGGACGAGAGTAAGTGACAGTTTGTGGCGGCGCCGGGAGAGGACCGAGAGGGAGCGCGCGGGTCCCGGAGCACCGAGAGTCACAGCGCGGAGGGAGAGCCCGAACCCGAGCCTCAGCCCAGGGGTACAGACAGCCCCCAACCCGGGACAGCCCCCCACCCCCGGCCACAGACAGACAGCCCCCAACCCGGGACAGCCCCCCAACCCCGGCCACAGCCCGGCCACAGACAGACAGCCCCCAGCCCCCGGCCACAGCCCGGCCACAGACAGACAGCCCCAACCCCCGGCCACAGCCCGGCCACAGACAGACAGCCCCCCAACCCCGGCCACAGCCCGGCCACAGACAGACAGCCCCCGGCCACAGCCCGGCCACAGACAGACAGCCCCCAACCCCCGGCCACAGACAGACAGCCCCCACCCCAGCCCGGCCACAGACAGCCCCCAACCCCCAGCCACAGACAGACAGCCCCCCACCCCCAGCCCGGCCACAGACAGCCCCCAACCCGAGACAGCCCCACGCCCCGGCCACAGCCCGGCCACAGACAGACAGCCCCAACCCCCAGCCCCGGCCACAGACAGACAGCCCCCAACCCCCAGCCCCCGGCCACAGACAGACAGCCCCCAACCCCCAGCCCCCGGCCACAGACAGACAGCCCCAACCCCCAGCCGGCCACAGACAGCCCCCAACCCGAGACAGACCCACGCCCCGGCCACAGCCCGGCCACAGACAGACAGCCCCCAACCCCCAGCCCCCGGCCACAGACAGACAGCCCCCAACCCCAGCCCGGCCACAGACAGCCCCAACCCGAGACAGACCCACGCCCCGGCCACAGCCGGCCACAGACAGACAGCCCCCAACCCCAGCCCCCGGCCACAGACAGACAGCCCCCAACCCCCGGCCACAGACAGACAGCCCCCAACCCCCGGCCACAGACAGACAGCCCCCAACCCAGCCACAGACAGCCCCAGCCCGGCCACAGACAGACAGCCCCCAGCCCCCGGCCACAGACAGACAGCCCCCGGCCACAGACAGACAGCCCCCAGCCCGGCCACAGACAGACAGCCCCCAGCCCGGCCACAGACAGACAGCCCCCAGCCCGGCCACAGACAGGCAGACAGCCCCCAGCCCGGCCACAGGCAGACAGCCCCCAGCCCGGCCACAGACAGACAGCCCCCAGCCCGGCCACAGACAGACAGACAGGCAGCCCCCAACCTGGCCACAGACAGACAGCCCCCAGCCCGGCCACAGACAGGCAGACAGACAGAGAGGCAGCCCCCAGCCCGGCCACAGACAGACAGACAGACAGACAGACAGGCAGCCCCCAACCCGGCCACAGACAGACAGGCAGACAGACAGGCAGCCCCCAGCCCGGCCACAGACAGACAGACAGACAGGCAGCCCCCAGCCCGGCCACAGACAGACAGACAGACAGCCCCCAACCCGGCCACAGACAGACAGACAGGCAGCCCCCAGCCCGGCCACAGACAGACAGACAGAGAGGCAGCCCCCAGCCCGGCGACAGGCAGACAGCCCCCAGCCCGGCCACAGACAGGCAGACATGCAGACAACCCCCAACCCGGCCACAGACAGACAGCCCCCAGCCCGGCCACAGACAGGCAGCCACCAGCTGGGCCTCAGACAGACAGACAGACAGACAGCCCCCAGCCCAGCCACAGACAGACAGACAACCCCCAGCCCGGCCACAGACAGGCAGCCCCCAGCCGGGCCTCAGACAGACAGACAGACAGACAGGCAGCCCCCAGCCCGGCCTCAGACAGACAGACAGGCAGCCCCCAGCCCGGCCTCAGACAGACAGGCAGCCCCCAGCCCGGCCTCAGACAGACAGGCAGCCCCCAGCCCGGCCACAGACAGACAGGCAGCCCCCAGCCCGGCCACAGACAGACAGACAGGCAGCCCCCAGCCCGGCCACAGACAGGCAGCCCCCAGCCCGGCCACAGACAGACAGCCCCCAGCCCGGCCACAGACAGAGAGCCCCCAGCCCGGCCACAGACAGACAGACAGACCTTAGACAGACAGATAGTCCCCAGCCCGGCCTCAGTCAGACAGCCCCCAGCCCGGCCTCAGACAGGCAGCCCCCAGCCCGGCTTTAGCCAGTTCAGGCTCTGCCCCTTGCATGGCCGGACAGGTCATCATTAAACAATAAATTCTAAACCAGTCACATCCAAACATGTGTACAGTACAAGTGATGAGTACAACTGTTTTGTATAAATACAGTACACCTCTGATTCAGAAGGTTGTAGGTTCAAGCACTGCTTTGGGGACTTTGAGCTCACAGTCCAGGCTGACACTCCAGTGTAATGCTGGGAGAGCGCTGCATATTTAGAGTTATTGTTCTTTTGGTGATATACTAAACTGAAGTCTCATCTGTGTCTGTTCAGGTGGAAGTTAAAGATTCCATGGCACTACTCGAAAAGAGGAGGGAGTTTCTCCCAGTGTCCTAGCCAATGATTCCCCAGATAAACTGGGCTCGGTGCTCTGAGACACTACCTCGTTTGAAGGGAGAATATATAATTTCAAGTTGTTATCTTTCACTTCATGCCTGTTTGTTGGGGTTTGAGACGCGTCAGATTTATTGTTGCAGTGATAGTTTTGCCTTCCTGAATGAACTATGATTAAGAGTGCAGTTAGTTTTGTTTGTGGGATTCTGTTATAGAAAGTGAGAAACAAGTTGAATTGTTTTAGCGCTTGTGCTTCAAAACATCTGGAAGTGCTTTGGTAATTCATCCAGACAATGCTCAGGTGTGTGCCTCTGAGGGAGAGTTTGTCATATTGGACCAGTGTGGGGGAGGAAAGAGACGTTGATGTCATAGCTGTGGAATAAATCGTGCTGATCATTGTAAATCGCTCCAAGATGCTATTTTATGTGATAAATGTGCTCTGTCCTATGCGCTGTGAGATGCCGTCCGGCGTGGAGGGCGCTACATAAGACCTTGTTGTTGTTGTTGATTCTATGCTACATAAATACAAGTTGTTGTTCAGGATTGTAGCACTTGCTCTATTTGTTCTGTAACTAACTCATCACAAAACTAGGGATAGAGTCTAGGAACTTTGTGATCCATAATAATAATAATAATTCCTGCATTTGATATAGCGCTTTTCACATCATCTCGACGTCTCAAAGCGCTTCACAAAATAGACTGTAAAGTGAATTGACTGTGTATTTGTGGGCGAATAATAATCATAATAATCCATATAGCTTGAATGCATGCCAGGCTACTACTACTGATTATTTGATTTGATATAGTGCCGTATCAGGTCATTGAGATGTCTCAAAGCGCTTCACAAGAATATATTGTAATAGAGTGGATTGACTATTTTGTGGGCAAAATTCGTCAGCCAATTGTGCTGTGTCCCACAAACAGTCGTGGTTTGAATGACCAATTTTTCTTTGAGGGATTATTGCCCCCGAAAGCGATCCACCAATCGACTAACAACTGGGTTTCTGCTTACTGCTAGATAAACAGAGGCCTGTGGAGTAAGGAAACTTGCCTGACGTTTTGTCCTGCCCAGGAATCGAACTCAGGCTCTCTCACTTGTGAGGCGAGTACGTTAACTACTACAGGATTCCACTCGGGAGATTTATATACTTTACAAAAGATTAACTCAACTAACTCTGGTCCCTTTCCTCAAATCCAATGGAGTGATACATGATGTTGGAGTGACTGCATTCTGTCTCAAAGTCTTTTTTTTTTAGATTTTTTGCTCAATTTCATTTTGATTCTGTCTGCCTCAGGATTTCAGGTGGTTGTTAAGAGACAACTAACTCTCTTCCCCCTAACGTTTTTCTCTTGATTATCATGGCTTCTGTTTTCTCTTTGTCCAAATTTGATTTCTTTAGCAACTTTTGTTGTTGTCTTGGGACATTGCTGGACTGGAAGAGATTTCAAGAGGGTGAGGGCAAAGTTATTAAAAAGCTCGCTCACCTACCCGTCATTCTGGTCTGTGAACTTGAGTCCAACTTAGGGCTTTAGACTAGCAACCATCAAACTCAGAGGTGAAAGTGCTACCAACTGAACCAGGTTGAAGTTGCTGTATTTACACAGGACAAGCCTATTGGTATACTTGTCACTTGTGTTGTACACACATCCATATGATACAACTGGTTTAGGGGAGGTGACCTGGCCTGGTCCCAGACCACACCAAACAGCTGCTCGGAGCTCTGCTGGCTGTTCCTTTTCTGTTAGTTTTCATTTTTCAGTTCATTCTCCTGTGTGCGCAGTGCGGAGGCTGAAGGTGTGCACACAACCTTGCACCCAACCCCTGGTGGCTCTGCCTGATGCCGTCTTCTCTGATGTGAAAGGCACTATCTTGTTTCGCCCGCAAAATACACAGCCACAAGACTTTACAGTATAATCTGTGAAGCGCTTTGAGACGTCTCAACAACATGATAAGGTGCTATATCAAATGCAAGGATTATATTTATTATAAATGTGAATTTGTATTTTACTGTCTGAAATTGTGAAAATGTATTTAGATATTGTTTGCCTCCTTCCCTCCTCGGTACTGTCTATTCTCTCCCTGTCCCATCCCCATCTTGTAACCCACTCCACCCCCGCCGATGCTGTCTACTAGTCCCCCTCCTCCCTATCTTTACTACAGTTTTACATTCGCCCACAAAACACAGTCACTACACGTTAGCTTTGTATCCTGTGAAGTGTTTTGAGATGCCTTGAAGATGTGATGAGGCACTGTATCAAATTCACGGATTATTATTCTCTTAGTAAGTCTAATTAGTAAATCTCACTGCCCCCACTCACTTTATGCCCCTGGTCCTTACTCTTGAGATCTAATTAATAATTTATACAAGTTAAAGATCACTATTTGGATTTATATTAAAACCATTGCTAAAGTAAGGGTTGCTAATCTGCACAATTATACCTTTTTAAAGAAGCTACTCGCGATGAACTCTCCTTTTTCTGTAAAGTAGCTTTGAAAAATACCCAGTGTAAAAAAAAAAAATTCACCACAAAATACACAGTAACTTTACA